TTTTTTGTGTTGTGATAGTCTTTTAGTTAATGAGCAATATGATTAAGCATTCATACGAAAGCTGATATTGGTTTTAATCATGAATTCTGCTTAAATCTCAACAAAAGCGCTAGCACATTGCACTTGCATACATGTGTACTCGAGTATGAGAAGCAAATAATTATATGGCTCAAGTTCACAGCTTTAAAGATTTTTGAGCGTTAAATCTTTATTGTTAAGAGACCCTTTCAAAAAAGGTATTCCTAGAAAAATGGCGATGCATATCCATGTGAATGAGTTTACACCTGCATGAATGCAATATTTATCAACCTTCGTTAAATAAATTGAAAAGAAAAACGCGAAATCCATTGACTTTTCTATGGACTACTGTTGGGATACTCATATTTTTTTTTTTTTAATATTTTTTCCATTGTTGTTTTCGCCTGTGTGAAAATGAATTTACAATGAAAACGCTGCAGCAGTTATCCCCCGTTTGTATTTATGACTCGAGCAGTTGCTGAAATTCTTCTTAGTCATGTGTGGCCACAGTTGTATGTGTATGTATGTCACTGTGGGTGTAAAGGTCGAAATTTGCGGCAGCCTCATGGTGTTGATGCATTTCCATCAATGCTTACAAGATGCGCTGTTGTTGGCTGGAGTTAAACCACAAGGTGGTTACAGTATCGACAACTTTAATTTGCGCAAATTAAATTCTGAATCGTTTTGAATAATAGGGGAAAAACGATATACATTCATAAGTAAAACATCTATCCTCTTAAACATTAATTTTATTACATCAAACGAGCAATTCTTGTATATAAATATATATCTCCATAGGGTTCTCGGACACGGCTCTAACGATTTTGATGGAATTTCGTATAAAGTTAACGTTTTGCATTTTAAGGTTATCTAAATAGGTATTATCTCCGAGAAGACTCATATGTATAAGGTTGCCACCTAATCGAAATTAATTACAAAATAATTAAAACATCATAATATGGGTATCAAATGGAAGGTATTTTAAAAATCCCTAATCCCTAATTCAAAAATATTTTTAATACGGTTGCCACCTATTTCGAACCGCATATTTATTTAATTGTTTGTTTAGAGAATAGAGGTACAATATTACTATTCATGCGTAATAAGAGAAGGTTATTAAACAATGCTTTCCCTATATACTTATGGCGTTTTCTTTTCTACAAAAATGTTGCCCGTTCATTGCCCTCTCCTTAGTATTTGTGTGTAGAGGGCACTGAGAAGGCAACATGTGTTTCGGTAGAAAAGAAAACTCCATAGGATACATATTAGTGTAAGGTTGCCACTTATTTTCGGTTCTACACAATTGCAAAGGAAAGGTATTGTTGAGAACTTTTGTCCGAAAATATTTTCGATCAGGGTTGTCGCACTTTTATGTAATAAAAATTGTTATTTTGTACATATAAATAGGGTTGCCACCTAAAATTTAAAGTAAGTATTTATATTTATTTTTATAGACACCAAAATCCAATTTTTTTTTTGTAATTTTTTTCCAAAATGTTTTTTAAAGCAATATAAGTGACTAGTATTTGAGACCCAAGCCTAAAAAACATTAAAAAGTATATGCACTCCGAGAAAAGCTCGATCAACCTGGTACTAATTATTCAAGGTGTAACAGGAAATTGCGTATTTTATCCATAAAGTACTTGTAACTTCGCATCAAATAGCTTTCATGCAGGAATTGCGAAAATTTTTTCACATAAAGTAGATGTATGTCAAATCCTGTTTATTAATGCACTAAATCCGGGATGAGCAAATTTTTTTCAGGGTAAAAGTAGTGTACAAAATATATTAAAAGCATCATATATATTAGTAATAAGAGTCGGAGTACAAGAAATTTGAATACGCTCTTATTCCCAATTCATGCTGGCTCTTGATGTTACACTTCATCTACCTCCTAAATGTGCCAAGCCGGCTCCAAAGTGCAAAAGGCTCCTGGGAGCCACTTTGCCCATCTCTGCACTAAATGTTTAAAATCTAACGCATAGCATGTTTATCGAAATCGATAGGCCATAAATGGGAATTTATGGTTTATTTCAGTTTACACTTCAATTCAAATGTTTGTGTGCTAACATGAATATAGTATATATCTTTTATGTACATATGTACATTAGGGTAATCGTTATTTAACAAGTTGATTTATTTTTTCAGACAGTTCTATAGATTTTTTAGGTTAGCGCTCACCTGTAGGCCGCATGGGCCCAATTGTGATGCCCAGTAGCGCGGGTTTGCCCACATGGGTTTAATATCTTAATTTTCTTCTTCTGCAGAAATCGTTATTTGGACCTTACAACATTATGAAATAACATTAGTTGGGTTGAGTTGAGTGGAGGAGAGTTTAACATAGCACTTAGCTTAACATAACATAAGATAATATGCTATAACATAACATAACACAACATAACATAACATAATGTAACATAATATAACATATCCACTCTTCTGTCTTATCTTCCTTATCACTATCACTTTATCTCTATAG